TATGGTTATTGGTTTATTGGTTATAATAAAGACTTATTTTGTGTTAAACACCTCTGCCTGGTGTCCTTTTCATTCCAATCTGGATCAAATTGTTACTGTCCTCCACACTCTTTGCCTAGCTTTCATGTGGGGACGTAAAATGAAGATAGCTGAGACTTTATTTATAAATGCTTTACAAGGCAAAAATAGTCCTCATTTTAAATGAGGCCACACAAATATTCATTAAACCTTTATTAACACCTTCACAAACAATGAGCTCATGTCTTTATCATTATATATTTGAAATTAATGTGCACTTAAATATTTAAATCACTTCTTTAGACTTTTATTATATATGAGCTTATTAATTAACAATACATTTTTATATATGAATTGATAAATTACATACTAAGTAATAACTGTATCCAAAATGCAAGCATAAATTCAAATGATCACAGGAATACTCAGGGCCATTTATATACAAAAAGTTAATCAAGGAAGTGGAAAAATATTGGCAACTCCTAGCATTATCCCTCAGCCTATTAGTAAACACACCTATGACATCAATTTCAAAATCCTATGTTGCATCGTTCTCGAGTTCTTGAATTCACAAGAAAACATTTCCTCTGATCTTTGACCGAGATTTGAACGAGTCATAGGGTTTTCTGACCTTTATCATCTGGGACAGATCTCCAGCATCCGCAAGCTCCAGAACAATGTTGAGCTCATTTTCTTCAATAAAAGAATCAAGGTACTTGATTACATTGGGGTGATTCAGCTGCTGCAGTGGACAAACAAAAGAAAAATGGTAGCATCAACGGAGCTGTCGCAAGCAAGGTGTATAGCAGAGCCGTCCATGCAAATGTTTCAAACACATTTTATAAAATACTGGCGGCATCAAATGCCATTAATTTCAAAATCCTGTGCTGCCTCACACGATTTCCTGAAAACTCAGTGACCTTCGCCAAGGTCATTGTCACTGAGTTTTAAACACATCTGAGATTTTTAGTAGATACACCTATGGTGAACTTGAAACTCTTACATTGCCTCACTCTCAAGTTATATCATTCACAAACTTGGGTCCATGCCATCTACCTGTCTGGCAGGGTGACCACCAGTGTTGGTCAAGTTACTTGAAAAAAGTAATTAGTTGCTATTTACTGATTACTTCTCCAAGAAAGTAATCCCTTTACTGATTACTTATTTTCAAAAGTAATTAGTTACTTTACTACTTGGTTACTTTTTAAAAACATGATACATAACCTGAATACATAATAAAGCAATAGACCTTTCAGCCCAATTGTATTTTTTCTGCATAATCAATCATATCAAATTGAATCAAATGAAAAAGTCTCTTTTTAAAACTCTATGCACATTGCATCAAGCAAAAATTAAATTATATGCAACATTCTCTGACTGGAAGAAATTTGTTTAACATTTAAACCTATTTTCTGCTTATTCCAGCATATACAATTAAATCATTTTTTATGTTTACACTCACTCTTTCAAATAGATGCAAGTAAAACACAGCAAAAAATAAATGAAATCAAAGATTCAGCGACACTGAGTCCTGTCGCTCTTAAATCTATTTTCACCTGTTTAGCAGGAGTGGGGCCGGTGGAGGTTTGCAGTCATGTCAGTGGGGGGGATCAGGGGGTTTCTCTGAATTTTACATTCCCGTGGCAGCATGCTAGGTGCTTGTTCAGATTTGAAGTTTAATTTTTTTTGCTGGAGAAAGAAGTTTGCTTCCTACGCAGAGTGTACAGTGGATGCTAATGTTTTTGTCACTTTTTACGGAATCAAACTCAAAGTAATGTCAGTACTTCCAAGCTTTAAACGCTGCATGATCGTACTCTCTCCCACACTCTATATTATCCATTGTTGATCTAAACGTGTGTTGCTACCATGGACGTCGCACGTTCGTACGTCATTGTCATTAGACACTCTCACAAACAAAATCACGGTTTAGTAACACAGTAACGCAGAATGCTTATGGAAAAGTAACAATAATCTAATTACAATCCCTTACTTTACTCGTTACTTGAAAAAAGTAATCAGATTACAGTAATGTGTTACTTGTAACTTACTTGTAATGCGTTACTGCCCATCTTTGGTGACCACAAGTCTTTAATGGCTGGGAGTAAAAAGCATTCTGATGTAGCCTCAGATTTGAGACTGGTTCTTATATGCCACTTTTCTACTCTGCCTGAGCACTTAAAGCAGTTTATACAACTTGCCTCATTCACACCCATTCATACAAGCACTGTTTTTTTATCCTTAAGTACTTTCTATCCAACATTCATACTCCGATGGCGACGTCGGAGAGCCACTTGGGGTTAGAATCTTGCCCAGGGATATTAGGCACAAAAGCTTGAGCAGCCAAGGATTGAACCACCAACCTTCCAATTAGTGATGACCTAATCTTTCTCCTGAGTAACAGCCACCCAATTTCGCACTCATTCACTTATTATCAACCAGAGTATAATTTGCTTTGACAGACTTTACCTTCAGTAAATCAATCTCTTTGATGCAGTCCTGACGAGCCTTAGCATCCATCATCTCAAAGATCTGCAAAGATACATTGTGAGCAAATGTGGAAAGAAACAACTTCATTTTAACTGAAAGAGACCTGAAAGAGACCTGCAAATCTTCAACAAGCAGTTTAGTGGTGAGGGAAGAAAAGATGATTTGGAAAAATTAATTACTCAAGTCAGCTAAAAGAAGTCAATAGAAGAGAAACGATCTAAATAAACCATCAGTAAGGCTGTATTATATTGAGACTGTGACACTATTGACACGATAATCAGCTTCTGTATGAGTAAAGTTCTGATAGCTCCTCCACATTGTGTTGGCTCATGACGCTTAAGAAAACAACAATCGAGGAATCACTGCCTTACATTTAGTTATAGTACTTTCAGATAGATATCTAGTGTACTGAAACTCACCCCCAGTGCTGTGTAGTCCATTATTGTAAAATTAAATGTTTTAAGAAATAACCATGTCAGGAAATACAGTCCCAATTCCCAAAAATTTGGAAAAGATATGTAAATGTAAATAAAACATAATGAAATGATTCACAAATGTCATAAACCCATGTTTTTATTCACAACAGGACACATAAAACAATACCAAATGTTTAAAGTGATAAAATGAACAATTTTACGAAAAATATTGGCTAATTTTTTAATTTGATGGCAGCAACAGGTCTAAAAAAAATTTGGGGCAAGGTCATGTTTACCACTGCGTACCATCCCACATTTTTTAACAACAGTGAATAAAAATGTAGGAACTGAAGAGACCAGTTGATGGAGAGGAATGTTGTGCCATTCTTGTCTAGTACAGGATTCTAGCTGCTTAAAGGTCCCAAGTATTCTTTGTCACATTTTTTTTGTTTCCTAATAAGTCAAATGCTTTCAACTGGTAAAAGGTCTGGACTGCAGGCACATTAGTTCAGCACTTAACGTCTTCTCTACAAAGTCATGCTGTTTAAATAGATGTATTATGCGGTTTAGCATTATCTTGCTGAAATATGCAAGACCTTCCCTTGATGTCTGGATGGGAGCGCATGTCAGTATAAGACCTGTATATACCTTTCAGCACCATTGAGTTGCTGCTGTTGTTTCAATTAGCATATATCCACAGTAACAAGATTACATGCATTAGTCATTACAACTGATTACATGATCAAATCTTAGTTTGACTTTATTAATAGATCATAAAACCATCTCCATCTTCTTTGTCAGACTATCTTTATTAAATTATAAGTATTTCTGAGATCTTCCGTAGATGTGCATGTCTGCCTCTTTCTCACGGTAGAATAATGTGTCAATTAATAAACAGTTATGAGTGGGTAAATGCCAAAGGCACAGCTTTCCTCATTTACCATTGTTATTAACAAGTAAAAGATGGTTTGTTTTCCACAAAAACTTCTTACTCATGTTTCAGAATGAGAACACAGAAGATGAAGTCTTTCTGTGCAGTGAAATATTAAAATGCTTAACTCTAAACAGGGAGTGTTGAGTTTGAATAAACACTATAATGGAGAACATTTGGTAGCGTGGGAGCAGACAGAAAGATCTCATGAAAGATCTCATATGGATTACTATAACTATACTCTAATTGGTTTATTAAACAGAAGGAAGATCAAGAGCTCAGGTATCTTAGGCTCCTGAGGGAAAAAAAACATCAGTCAGTGGAAGATGAAATACAGTGTTAATGTAAACGCATTTTCAAGCAATGCGTTCCTTGTTTTGTCTGAATTTTACTTAACATGAAAACTAGTAGCTATCAACAGCTGTTAAGGTGGGATGTTTTCTTGCACCCTACTCTGATGCAATTAAGACGAAAGAGTTGAAGATATGAATCAATAAACACTTTGGGAAAGATTTATCAACTTTTCTTTTTAGGCTAGTCTTATTGCTTTTCTATTTGCAGGAACTTTTGTGAGCGTAAAATTTTGGAAGGATAGTATTTGAATAAATTACAATTTCACTAAATCCCAAGAAAAAGTATGTCTTAGTTTGTGTTTGGTGCAACTGTGGTAGCTGCCACTAGTCGCCTCACTCAATGCTCACCCTCCAGGTTTAAAGCTAAGCCCAACATACTTCTACTCCTGAGTAATACTGGTATTATACTGGTATTATACTGGTAACACAGCAGAACTGAATTCAGCTTCATGCATCTTGGTTTTACAGGCAGCCAATTTAATTTTTACCGTGAGTTAAGCAGTTTACAGTGTTTTAGGCGTATAGTCATAAGTCCTTTCATATAGTCCCATATTTTCCTTTCTATATATCAGAAGAGAGGTTCACATGAGAGAGGGAATAAGACTCACTGTGGTTTAGATTTCACAAGGACGATGTCAAAATAAATGCAGTAATTTGCAAAACATGCCATAAAACTGTTGCCGCAAAAGGTAGCAGCATCACAAATTTATTCCACCAGCTAAAAAGTCAGTCACTGAAAATGAAGACTGTTTTAAACTCTGCATGTCAACGTCTTCCCACACACCAAAGAAAATGATAAATAAATCAGCTGTGAAAAACCTCTGTGTGCAACTCATGGTAAAAAAAAAAAAAAAACCCAGTTAAAATAAAACATTTGAATTCGTTAAGATTTTTGTATTCAAAGTAGAAATAATAATGAATGGTCAGTTTGAATAAGTTTAGGCACTATGGTTGAAAACAAGATTTGTTTTTGAAGGTTGTTTAAACATATCGTGATACATATTGTGGATCATGATATAGGCAAAAAATATTGTGTTATTAGATTTTCCTCATATCGCCCAACCCTACTTAAATACACACCAACTACAGACTAGCTACCTGTATAACTTTAAATGGTGTGGAACAGTAGCATCTCCACTTCACTAAGTCTGGCCTCCAAATATACAAACAGGCTAAATATATTTTACTAGTATTATAAGCACTAAAGGAAGCTGAAATTCTCTTAATATTTGACACATTCATGTAAACAACTATGGTACCGGTGGTTAAACAGTGGTTAAAGCTAAGCTAGCAAAGACTAAAATAAATTAACATTATGCCTACAAGTTGCAGATGATTAAGCAGAAGAATGTATTTGATAAGGTGTGTACAGTTTACTTTGTAAAATAAAATACTTTAAGTAATCAAGTTAAACACATTAACTGGCAAAACACCAATTTCCACTGTAATAAACATAAACAGGAAATGATATTGCACTGCAGTGAGATCTAAGACCACATGTATGGCGACTAAGTACAAAGAGCTGTACCTGGACCTTCTTGAGTGCCACCAGCTGTCCATCAAGCAGATATGTTGCTTTATAGACCTCACTGAACTGACCCCGACCGATCTTCTTCTCAATGTGGAAGTTTGCCATTGTGCAGCAGTAATTATAGCTTGGAACATTTTTCTGAACAAGAAAAACACCATCAGCAGTAAAACAAAGCAGTATATTATAACTCAATAGATGTCATTTTTTTCTTTCAGCTTGGTGATTTTAACATATCTTTCAATACTATGTGTTGTTTCAAAGTCTAAGGCTAATACAGACAGAAGATTTTGAATATGTTGATGGTAGTTATCATCAACTACCACATGCTAATAGAAGAAAAACATTACACTCTGTTAGTGACAGTGTCTAAAATTATCTTGTACAGTGCTTTAACTTACAATGTCATATAGACACTATACATTTTGGAACATGTAATGCTCTGCTTTTGGCAAAAAAAACAACAACAAAAAAACAAAAAACAAAAACAGGCCAATACTATTTTTTGGGTCAATACTACTACCTACCTGATCTTCCTGGCTTGGTATCTTGTAGAGATTATTGTGTTTGTCTAAGGTGGGCTGGTTGTTGTTCTGCACCTCCATGTTTGCATCACACCTACCCACCTCTGCAACAAAGAATAGTTGAAATGACTTATTTAAAATCATGGAACATTTGCTTAAAACATTAAAAAAAAAAAAAACTCCAGTCATAATATGCAGAAACTGGGATAAAGTGTAAGCATGAAAAACTAGTTAATGCATTTATTACTTCTAGGTTGAACTACCTCCTTCAGTTAATTCAAAATGCTGCAGCAAGAGTTATGACAGGGACTAGAAAGAGAGAGCATTTTTCTCCTATATCTGCTTCTGGCTTGGCTTCCTGTTAAATCCAGAATTTAAATCCAAATTTAAAATACTACCACCACAAGGTCTTGAATAATCAGGCCATATTATCTTAATGACCTCATAGTAGCATATCACCCCATTAGAGCACTTTGCTGTCAGACTGCTGACTTGTGGTATTTAAAAGTAGAATGGAGGCAGAGCCTTTAGCTCCCAGGCCCTCTTTCTGTGGAACCAGATTCTACTTGGATTTAAGACACAGACACCCTCGCTACTTTTAAGATTAGGTTTAAAATTTTGCTTTTTGATAAAGCATATAGTTATGGCTGGATCAGGAGAGCCTGAATCCTCCCTTAGTTACACTGCAGTAGGTCTAGGCTATTCCCATCATGCACTGAGTGTTTCTTCTTCACTCACTATGTGTTTATACCCTTCCCTGCATTTAACCATTAATCTTTGCTATTAATCTTAATCACTATTAATCTCTGACTCTTTTCCACAGTGTTTTTTTTTGTTTTGTTATTTTGTTCTCCCCTCACTCTGAACCAGTCACGGCAGATGGCTGCACCTCCTTGAGGCCGGTTCTGCCACATGTTTCTACCAGCTACAAGATTGGTGAAATGGAGAAAGAAAAAACAAAGTGCTTCTTCATAGGGGATCATCTGGTTGTTGGGTTTTCTCTGTATTATTGTAGGGTCTTTATCTTAATATAAAGTGTCAGGCAACTGTTGTTGTGATTTGGTTGTATAAAACTGAATTGAATGTACATACATATGAAATAAGATGTCTGTTTATGCAGCTAAAATGTACATGCATTTCTAGGTCTTTACTTATATGAATTATTGTATTACTACATGGTCACAGGATGGTTTTTATTAGGGGTGGGGACTTAGGGATTAAAATCGATTCTAGCTTGGATAACGTGATATCGATTCATTCAAATCCTGAATTGATTTTTAAATATAAATTTATTTTGCCCGAAACGCCAGAATCTCAGGTTAAACCTCACAAAATTTCAACAACCACCAAACAGCTAAAACAGTAAATGAGAGCAGGTACACAGATTCTGCACAAAGATGTAAACACAAAGCACGGACCCGCCGACGGATTGGAATCAGTGAGATGTCGCCTTTCTCACCCGACGGCACGGGCATGGACACGTTCGGACCTGAAAGCCAACAGCTCACTGATTCTAATGTTTCGGCGGGTCCACGCTTTGTGTTTAAATCCTTTTTGCGCTAGATTCTGAAGCTGCAGGTTTTATCTCTCTCCAAACAATATTGATTGAACCAGCAGCAAAAGAAGATCCAAACTACGCTTCACATTTCGCTTCACATAAACATCGTCATGAATTCCTTACTTTTGCTGTTTTGCTTCCAGCACGATAAAAATCACACTTCATGCACAGCTCTCTCTCTCTCTCTGTGTACTTCAAGAACAGCTTCCAATCTAAAAATCTCTGTTTTCTGCATTATTCGCTTGTTTATTACGCACAAGTCTACCGTTGTTTATAGCGCTGTCGGCTGCTGTTTTTTTTTTCCTTTCTTCCGAAAAGAAAGCCTCATTTCTGCTGTTCAATACTGAACAAATTTAAACTTTTTAAAATTATGCAAAATGCTTAGCTGTGTCCCTAATACAACCTGAGTAACTTTGCTCTGCTTCACTTCAGTAGCATCAGGTAATGTTCATATGTTGATTAATGGTTTTCTTTTGTTTTTCATCTATCGCAGAATATTTTTAAGGTCAAATTCCCAGACCAGGAAAGTCGCATTCATGTTTTTCTGTGTTTTATCCTCAGTTACTCTGACAAAAAGGCATCTGCTGTGATGTTTACACCTTTGATAAAGTCTGGCAAGTGTCAGCTTTCTTTTTATAAAAGATATGGATATGTACTGATACGTGATCAGAATTCTAATTTTTCTGACTGTCTGAGGCAAAATTTCCCAATTCAAATTGAATCAAATCAAATCGTGGATCAAATCGATTCGGGAGATCAGTGACGATACCCAGCCCTAGTCTTTATGCTTTATAACCATTACAGTTTGTATATAACTGTGATTTGGCACATATAGATAAAAAATAAAATTAGTTAAAATCAAGATGACCTGTTAGTTTAAGACATGTAGCTCTTGAACTTACTTCTCTAGGTGTTCTTTCATATACAGTGGTATGCAAAAGTCTGGGCACCCTTGATAATTTTCATGATTTTCCTTCATAAATCATTGGTTGTTTGGATCAGCAATTTCATTTAAACATATCATATAGTAGATGAGCACAATGATATTTGAGAAGTGAAATGAAGCTTATAGGATTTACAGAAAGTGTGCAATAGTTACTTAAACTAAATTAGAAATAATGCCTCCAAACACTTCCTAAAGCTTCCAATGAGAGTCTGGATTCTGGTTGAGGGTATTTTGGACCTTTCGTCTTTACAAAACATCAGTTCAGTCAGGTTTGATGGTTTTCAAGCATGGACAGCCCGCTTTAAGTCACACCATAGCTTTTCAATAATATTCAGGTCTGGGGACTGAGATGACCATTCCAGAACATTGTACTTGATCCTCTGCCTGATTTTGAACAGTGTTAAAGGTCGTTGTCTTGTTGAAATATCCAGCCCTGGTGCAACTTCAACTTTGTCACTGATTCTTGAACATTGTTCTCTCTTTATGCACTGAAGCTGGCACGTTCCCTGAGTTTTTCCAGCAAGATGGTGCACCACCACATTATGGGTGCCAGGTCCGAGCATTCCTAGATGAACAGTTTCCTGGAAAGTGGATTGGTCGTCGTGGGCCAGTTGAATGGCCCCCAAGGTCTCCCGATCTGACCCCCTTAGACTTTTATCTTTGGGGTCATCTGAAGGCAATTGTCTATGGTGTGAAGATACGAGATGTGCAGCACCTGAAACTACGGATACTGGATGAATATGCTGGCATTTCTCCTGCGGTGTTGCTATCAGTGTGTAAAGAGTGGGAGAAGAGGGTTGCATTGACAATCCAACACAATGGGTAGCACATTGAACACATTTTATAAGTGGTCAGAAACTTGTAAATAACTCATGAAAGAATAAAGTTACATTGAAACCGAGCACACCATTGTTTTTCTTGTGACATTACCAATAAGTTTGATGTGTCACATGGCCCTCTTCCTATTGAAAAAACAAAAGTTGTATCCAAGATGGCCGACTTCTAAATGACCACCATGGTCACCACCCATCTTGAGGAGATTGCCCCCTCACATATACTAATGTGCCACAAACAGGACTTTAATATCACCAACCATTCCCATGTTATTACGGTGTATCCATATAAATGGCCCACCCTGTACTTGTCACGTGCAGACTCCTACATCATTATGATGAAAGCATTGGGGTTCAATTTGCCATAAGACACTTCAACATGCTGAATGGAGGAGTGAGGGATTGATTGAATGGTGGATGACCCGACTCAACCCCTGAGTCACAGCTGTAACATTCAATTTAGCAGTGTACATGTCACAGCCATAGGGCAAGACTGCACAGTTGTGTATGTTTAAATACCCAACTGAACATCATTTAAGAGCATTTTTATAGTTTTTTACAAGAATCAGATTTACTTTCTATGGATAGTTATCCAAATCATAACAACTCTTGAATAGGGTAATTTTTTTAATGACTCATTCACCTGGATACTGTACTTAATTGCAATGTGGAGTCATTAACTCTTCATTAACTTTTCTCCAGTTACAAAAGGACTCTGTTGCCAGGTTTGGGCAACAAGTTTGGGTCCTGTGGTGACTACAATAATTCAAGCCTTTGTTCTAGTTTTACTGGAAAAAAAACCAAAGCTATTTTCCGACCACCAGATCACTAAAAATGACTCAAAATAACTGGTACTGCATCTCTGTCTGTGCTAAGTTATTATGACTAGATGAGTTATTTTAACAATTTTGTACCTTCTCTCACAATTTAAGAGTCCAATAAAAACAAACCAAAAGCAAACGTTTTGGATCAATTGAAGGTTTGTTAAGGAATTTTCAAAACAATCTGATAATAATTTATTATAATAGTCCAGCCTAGAAAGTAATAAATGCATTGCCAAATGCAAATATGACATGCTTGGAGCAGATACCAACTGATCGCTGTAACAAGGTCCATGCTAATCATGCACTAATCAGGACATCTGATTACCAGAAGTTAAGAAAAAGAGTGAATAGCAGAATAAGCTGTTTGGCATTGGTAGAGTTTGGCATTTTCATGGGCACAACTATGCTAAGGTAAGATGGTGGCATCTGCTGTGGGGACCCCTAACGGGAACAGCCAAAAGAACAACAATCTGACATAGCTGCCACGCCCTCATATGCCAGCAGAAAATCGTTGTTGATTGAAGTTGCTCAATGTCATTGGCAATCTCTGGATGCCACATGACTATTAGTCGCTTCCTGTATAGACAGTCTTACTACTCAACCTTTCCCTTCATATTCAACGATGTCGAGTGCTCAATGAAACTATTGCCCATTGGCTTTTGGCTACTGTTGGTAAAACAACAACAACAAAAACTTAATTGGGTAATCTCAACAGGTCACATGATAGAGTGAGGCAAAGTCTCACAGTGGTTTCACCTAAAACTTCTAGTTGTAATGACCCATACCTTTTTTTCACACCTTGGCTCATGTGATGAGCATATGATAAGGCGTGGGTCAACAAACATCTTAAAGGACAAACCCCAAAACCCGGTACTCTCCAACATTTGGTTTTAGAACTGAAAAAGCTCTTGGATGAGATTTGAAACCTCTTCAAGAAATTTAAACAAGTACAGTGGTTTTCTTATACCGTTTCTACATATAATGTTCACTTCTACACAGAAACCACACACACAGACAGGAGGGGTGGGGGGTACAGCTTGTTACTCATGTTTGATACATAAATATTGTCATTGTTATATGGATGTGTTTTGTTTGGGTTTTTTTTTTGTGTGTATTTTTAAACTAATGACAGAGATGCTATCACATAATACACCCAATGCCGCATCTCTGTTCTACCCAATTACCTCACGTTAAGTTGTAATTGATTAACTTAATGTATAATCCAAATTGGTCTAAGTCAAAAGTACAAAAAATATATTCACAGGAAGATAAACCAGGAGCTGCAGAAGTTACGAGTATTGCAGTGGTTTCCTGTTGTGAAAGAAGAGCCTGCAGAGACGAGAATTACCCCAATAACACTCACCATTACTTCATTTAGCTTGAGTGACAGGTCGCCGATAATTACTTTAAAGTGGCAATGGAAACATGGAAATTAAATGGATGTGAATTTCAGTCCAAGTGTTCTGCTGCGTGCTCTTTTCCGGGCCTGGTGCAGCACGATTGTTTAAAATAGAAAAAAAAATATAATAATATGTTTAAACTATAGACCAGGAATCTATAAGGTCTCGTTTCTGTCCGGGTAGGCAGCACGCTAACGTTGCTGCTAACTAGTTAACTGCTACGAAGGTTGTGCAGCTCTCCAAAATGAGGCTGTATCCTGTTCCATGACGCGTGTTATGATTCAGCCACACACGAACTTACTGAAGCGAGCTGCTGCACAATTCTGCGAGCTGCCACCGTCTCCTTACTACTGACTGTGTCTTACCTGGAGAGGAGTCAGTAATGTCCTGCTGCGTGAAGGCCTTCCACATTTTACAACTTCTGTTAGTTCGTGTTGTTGTGCAACTCCTCACACCAACAATGTGAGTCAGACCCCCGCCCCCGAGTCTCTCTCCCCCGCCCCCGAGTCTCTCTCAATCGCCCCCCGCCCCCCGCTCGCTGTCAAGCAGCTTGTTCAATAGAGCTCGCTGATAACTGAATAACAGAAAGATACCACAAAGTTTTCAGTCTCTGGTTGCTAAAGTGGACGCGAAATTGTGAGAAGTGTTTGAGCAAAGTGGGTCAGTATATATATATAAGAAGCAGGGCGCGGAGACTATGCTTCTTCTCTAAGTCTCCTGCATACGGGATGGGGCTTTTTTTTAGAGTCTGGTGTGAAAATAGATTTGTATAAATTAACATGTTGAAACGAAAGAAAAAAACGTGGTGGCCGTTTGACAGATGAGGTTGAAACGGAGATGAAATTTCTATTAAAACGTTAATCATTCGGGGAATTAAAAAAACAACAACTACAAAACAACAAAGCAAGGAAGAACACAATTCAATCTGTTCGGATCTGTAATACAAAATTACAAAATCAAAATTTTGTATCAAAATGTAAAAAAAAAAAAAAGAACAAAGAATAATGACAGACCTGAACACACACAGGTCCATACATTTTATAATTGTTTATTTATCAAGCATATTTAATTAAACTGAATTAATATACATTTATCCTTAAGTTATGTTGTGTTAATTATTTGTATATGTATTTTTGATGCTTTGGCAATAGTATTTTGCCATGGTTATTTGGGTCAGTGTTGTTTGTTTGTTTGTTGGGATTTTATATATTTTTTTGCCTCTGTACACCACCACAGTGGATTCAGCATCAATCAAACATCAATATGCGATTGAAGTGCAGACTTTAATTACAGGGCTTTAACAAAAGAATTCAAGGAGGTGTTGTTGCAAATCTTATGGTCCAGGCTTGTAGGCTGATACAGAACTAAGAATAGTGACAGAGCCAGACTAGTTCAAACTTCACCTTTTTTGTCTCTGCAGTGTGAACCACACCCAAAAAATAATTAAACTAAAACAACCTGACCAGCATTTATAACAAAAGTGCTGTAAACTGAGAATATATTCATATATATGTATTTAAAGTATATATATATATATATGTGTGTGTGTGTGTGTGTGTGTGTGTGTGTGTGTGTATACGCACGAGTGCCCGATGCCATCTAGTAGGCTCTGTGTTTATTGTCCAGCTCCATGGAGCCCACTTGCCATAGAATATCAGAATTGGCAGGCCTACCACTGGCACCCTTTGCTTTTCACAGATGAGAGCAGATTCACCAAGAGCACATGTGACAGAAGTGAAAGGGTCTGGAGAAGCTGTGGAGAATGTCATGCTGCCTGTAAAAGTTTTGGTGTTTGGTGGTGTGTCAGTGATAGTCTGGTGAGGCATATCCATGGAGGGATGCACAGACCTCTACAGGTTATGCAACGGCACCCTGACTGCCATTCAACATTGGGATGAAATCCTTGAAGCCATTGTCACAGCCAAAGCTTGTGCACTAGGTTCCTCCTGCCCCCAAACTCGCCTGAGCTATTTCTAATAGAAAGCCTCTTGGACATTATATTTTGGTTCAGTTTGTGGGGCAGTGATGGCCTGGTCCAGATCTGGGAGGACATCCCCCATGATACTGTCTGTTATCATAGTAGGAGGATGCCCTGATGTTGTCAGTCATGCATACAAGCATGTAGAGGCTATATAAACTGCTGAATACCACTTTGCATTGCAGCAATGAAATTTCAGCAAAAACAGACTAGTCTGTTGCATCAGTTTTTTCCTCTTTGATTTTTGGACTGTCTTTGAATTTAGCCCTGTGTAGGTTGATAATTTTCATTTCCATCAAACAATGTGGCATCCTAACAGATTATCCAGTCCACATCAGCATAGATATCCAGTGTAATTTTTTTTCCTATTGAGGTCTGATGTGTTTTCAGAAGGTTCATTTAAATATTTTGAACAGTTTAGAGAATAGTAGAACAAAGATGTAAACTTTGTGGGATTTTTTGTTTTATAATTTTTCTATTTTGCTCTAGCGTTTTGGAAAAAACAGCTTCACTGTAAGAAAAAACATAGGACACACAAATCTGCTGTTTTTTGGAGCATCCGTCCCAATTTTTCCTCTTGTTAATCCACGTAGCTGTCATTTTCATTTATTTTCTTTTTACATTACATTACATTTAAAAACAAAATGTTTGTGACATAAATAATATAATTTATCTTTTAGATTATTTCAAAATTAATATTGGTAGAAAATATTACTAATTTATATTAAACTATAAATTATCTCCAAAACTGTTTTTAATTATTAGCTATAAAACCTCAAAATGATGTAATAAACTGTACTGGAGCTACCGTTACAGTAAATGCTGAGTAACAGAAACTTTACAGCACCACGCGACACAATCGTCTTGTACGTATTGTGGAAGCTGTAGTTTCTAATACTAGGTAGCTGTATGTTATTGACGTTCACCTCTTCTACATAGAAGACTACAAATCCCAGGAGCGGCACAAAGTGGAGCGTGACTTACGCATGGCGATTCACCATGGCGGTGTACTGTTGTGTGTGACGGGCAGGTTAGCTTGAGAAAAATACGGAGTGACGCGTCTGCGTACTGCCTGTCTGCTGCCAGCCACGGCGGGGAGACTAAATACAGGATGGGGTCTCGAATCAAGTAAGTATATTTCTCGGTGCGTTAGTTAAAACTGTTGTGTTAGCAGTGTTCCACAGAGTCATGGGGAAGATATCGTAGAGTATGAGGCCCTGGCTTGTTGTGACACAGGCTAAAAACACTGACGGGACCTGGAAAAAAAAACAAAAAAAACCAAGAACCTTTTATTTATATATTTTTAATGACACTGAGGTGTACTAGTAACTCACAAAGCTTTCCGCGCGGTTAGTGGTGACTGACAGTGAGTGGATATGTAGCCACTTTAAGCATGGTAACAGTATTAGATGTTTTTTTCCCCCCCAAAACCGGATGCTACTTTTCAGGACTGAGAAGTGCAGCAGAAACGATGACTGCAGGCTATTCTCGTGGCATGATAGAAAAGGACAACTGATCTATAGATTGGCTTTGGTATACAGATATGATGTATTTATGAGATTTATATCACTAAAACGACAGATTTAGTAAGAAAATTCCCGCACTGTGTTGAGACACCATGTTAGTAGGGTTATGTGGAGGCCCTACTTTGCCTGCTTTTTAAGAACAATCCTTACAGTTTGGGCTGGATATCATCACTGATTACTATAACTAATTCAATTTCAAGATTCAGTTTTAACTCAGACAGTCAGACATATTATAATTGTGATCATTTATCAGTATATATCCATATACTTTTAATTCTTTATGTCTATACATAAAAACAAAGCTGACAGTTGTGAGACTGTATCAGAGGTGTAAGCATCATAGCAGATGCCTTTGTGTCAAAGTAGATGAGGATAAAACAAAAAAACAAAAAGGAGATTTGCCTGGCCTGGCTTTTTATAGCAGATAACCAGCTTAAAAATATTCTGCAGAATGTCAAAAACAGAAGAAATCCATGAATCAACAGATAAACATTACCTGATGCTGCTGAAGTGAAGCAGAGCTAAGTTACAGAGGTTTTATTAAAGACATAGCTCAGCGTTTTGCAATTTGGCATATTTTGTAAAAGTTTACACTTATTTGGTATTGAACAGCAGAAATGAGGCTTTCTGGTTGGAGGTCATTAAAAAAAAAAAAAAGTCAACAGCACCACACACAACGGTAGATTGGTGCCTAGTAAGCAAGTGAATAATGCAGAAACACTAATTTTTGGTGGTAAACTGGAAGTACACTGTGGGAATTTATGACAATATTTTTCAAATGTGAAGCGTAGTTTGATCTTCATTTGCTGCTTTTTCAGTGAATTTTGGTCGGAGGGTGACAAACCTGCAGCTTCAGAATCTGTGAGATGTCGACTTTTAGCACCCGATGAGTTGTCTGTGTTCGTGCCGCCGGGTTGCGCTTTGCATTTACATCTTTCTGTGGAATGTGTTTACCTGCTCTTTAATCATTTGGTGTTATAACTCTTTGGTGGTTTTTTGAAATAGTTTTGTGAGCTTTAAGCTGAGATTCTGGCGTTTCTGGCTAAATAAATATATTTAAAAATCAATTCAGGATTTAATGAATCGATATTCAAACTAAAACTGATTTGAATAGGAAAATCAATTTTTTAAACCCACCCCTTGCGATCCCTGAACTTTGGGGCGATGTGTAAAATAAAAAAACAAAAAAATCAAGACATAATGCATGGTCTACAGCTAATTTCAACTCTTTATTTCATTGGATAAATGATGTCATCTGACAGAAAGATTTCCACTGCTTTGCCTTGTTGACCGTGTCTGGCGATATGGATGATGAGGAACTGTAGATCTTAGACATAATTCTGAAATGCGCCAAACCCCTGTGCCTGCCCACAGTCTGTTTGTTTCACAGCGGATGTTTGTCGAGTAAAGGATTAAAGAAACAAATCTCTTCTTATTAAGACCTTTGTTGGGGATAGTTCTACAAATTTTGCAAATGTTTTGAGTATGAACTCTGAAGAATAATTTGGTGAACAGTAAATGTTCATAATGGTAATTTCCTCACCATGTAAGAGTCCCTGAAAAATCAAAACCTGTCACATATTTATCTCTAGCTCACTTTACCAACCTTTACCATTTATGTATTAATACAGCTACACCTATGCTACTACTTGTCGTGAAAGAAGAAAAACATACTTGACCCACCCAACTGGGTTTTTAGCCTAAGATACCCACTGTCTTCTACGTGAGTTTCTTGTAAAAAGGTATATCTGCTGTGAGACCTGCTCTACCTCCTGGCTGTAGCTCAACAGTCACTTAACCAAAGCAATCATTAGGCTGTTTTTGGTGGAGCACCTTCTTTGCAACCATTTTCTCCCAAAGCCAGTAACCTCCAGGAACCACTGCCAGTCAGTCTGGGAATATTTCTCCCTGTGCTATCACACCCAATATGGTGGACAGATCTCGACATATGTGCACAGACA